TCAACATCAGGAAGAGAAGCCCTTTACAGCAGAAGCTGGAGAGTAGTTTGAAAGTACTGCAAAGCGAAGCACTGTGAGTGAACTTGGTAGTATGGGGTATATTATGTTAAGCTTTTGTGGATGAAGATTTCAGCAATTCATTCCAGACAAGCCTCTCACTGCCTGTTCTTACTGTACCTCCCCTAAGGCACACACAGATAAGTTCTTTCAACACTCAAAATAGCACTTGTGGCAGAGACTTCAAGCTACTTCGTTCTCCATTCTTTGTCAATGCTCATGATGGCATTTTATCGCCCTCACATTTGCAAGTATGTTCGTTATACTAGCAGATGTACGAAGGGAGTAAAATAAACAGTGGTTCATTTTGATCCATGTACTTAGTTTTCGAAGTACCCTTTTCTTTCAGCATCATGGAGGTTGTCAAAATCAGGCTTCAGAGATGTTTTAAAAGTTTTATTTAAAACTAAAACAGCTATTTGCAATAAATCTGTCGATGTGATTATTTGCACTGGCTTTGTCTGCGTTGCTGAACAATATGGTATTTTAAAAGTACAAGGTGATGCTTTGCTTCAAGTCTTCCACTTCAAAAGTATCCAAGACAAATGTATAGTCCTGTATTTTGACATTCACACTGCCTGGCAGTAGGTCTTCTTAGAGCAGCTGAGTAAGCGGGGCTTACCCTTTCATTTCTGCACAGAGCATATGTAATGGACAGTGGTAAGCATAATCCTGTTAAGTGGCAGTACTGTGTATCTTCCTAGCTTGACTTTTGAATAAGTTTCTTCATCTGTTATACAATTATACATTTGTATTGATGTTCTGTACTATAATTATAGCTTGTACACAGATGTACTGAATATAGCCCTTTTAATCACATAACCAATGCACTCTGGCAATTTCTCACCTGCCTCATACCATCTCTTCCTTAATTAATACCTTAGTTGACGTTGGTACAAGTATCTGTGGAAGAGGGATGCAAAGCTGAAAACGTCTTCCCATCTCCAAAGATAATTCAGACTGAAAAGAGAATATATTAATAGAACTCAAAGAAGACCAAACAGAAACAAGAAAAGCCTACCACCAACGAAAACCACATACACCCCCTACCCTCCACCCCAAAGAAGGAACTCTGTTGCTGCTGGGAGTTTATTTGGTGGCATTTTGGGGAGAAAAATAACCTCCTTAATAAGGAATACGTAGTTGCTTGTCACCAGCCAGACTAGCAGTTATATCTGAAGATTAGCACTTAATGTAAAAGAAAGCATATTTTTTAAATAATTGCTTCAAAGGACAGAGATTGAGCAATTGCTGTTCATTGTTGAAATGATTCTGCCAGCCATAAGAGATGTGCTCTACCTGGGGTTGCAGGTCTCACTAAGCGCATGGTAAGGCTTTGGAGCAGAAGATTAGCATTAGCAGGATGCCTAAGACAACTAGATGTGCATGAACTTTAAGAGGAATGATGATCTTTATGTGAGACCTAACATCATAGACATCTTTGGAATATAAGTTTTCTCTTGCTTGTTATATTCCTTTTTGTAAGCAGTCAATACATGTTAGTTTGCACCATGACTGATGTCACTTATTTCCGGTAGGTCTTAGCTGCAGTTGCACCCAACAAATGAGCAGTCAAAGACAAAAGCCTGTTTTAACAGCAGTATTGGGACTGCAGAATTCAGGAGGTAGGAAGTAGATTTTCATGATGGTCATCATTTGAAGGAAGCACTTAGGAGGAATTGCAGGGAGTAATTTCTCCTGGTATCAGACCACAGGGCAGGAGCAAGGAGGGGATGTATCCCTCTGCCCAGGCGCTAAACTGCATTTCTGTGCTTCATGGTGTGAGTATTCACATTATGGGAGGAGTATTCACAGGGAAAATCGTAGGAGAAATCCTGGCGATAGCTGCTATTGTTATACTGGTTCTCTGAATTGTTCCTAGACTCACACTGCTGAAACTTCTTGGCAGTCTTCCATGGCAGCTAGCTCTTTGCAGACGACATGCAATCTAGGACAGTGAATTAAATCATTACTGGTTTTGCACACAGGAAGATGATCCATAAAATGGCTGCAAAGAACAGACATGCAGACATTTATTTAGGGGCTGGTGTATTTCACTGTCATGGGCCACTCCAGTCCACAGCCAGCCCCTCACTCTTCTCTGTGACCAAACTGTGGGAGGGCTGCAGTTACTTTTTTCACATGGATACCCAGTGCTGTAGCTTTTCACCAGCACCACCACTTTCTACACTTTCAAGAGCTGAAACAGTAGCAAGACAAGATCATTGTTCAGGGATTTTTGCTGCAAAAGGTTGTGTAGCTCTTCAGTTTAACAGTTTGCTGAAGCTGTTAGGATATAGAGAATGGCTGCTATCAAATGTAATGCTGGGTGCAAGTGACTTGGGACACAAGAATTCAGTGGATCTTAAAGAGCACTGTTCCTGAACAGTTTGCCTTTTTCATGTAAGTTTTCTCTGCACTCAGGAAAATTCTGGAGAAGGCTTGCGAAATTTTGACTCAGAGATGATAGAGCTTTCTGAATGGAATAATGTATTTAAAAAATAAGTGACACTAATAAGGAAGTACCTGTTCCAATAACTAGACACAATTTCTATTGCCTTATTACAGCTTCCAGCATAGCAGATTTAGGTGTGCACTGATTTTCATTGATGTTTGTGCTTGGTTTTGTGTTGTTTTGTTTGTTTGGGTTTTTGTTTTTTGTTGTTTTTTTTTTTTTTTTAGGCTACAGCTGTATAGCTCTAATTTATATCAGTGTAGATGCACATAATTTCAGATGCAGTAAGGAAGCAAACATCTGCTGTCCCAGGTTTACCCCTTTGAAACTATTTGAAGCCATACAGTAACTCATTGAACAAACAGAAGGTGCTTGAAACTGGTCACAGAGAGTGATGATTATACCGAAACATGTATTTAAATGTTCTTTAGGGGGAAAGTACTTTGTAAATAGGCTTCATCCTTGACTAACTATCACTTTGCAAGTGAACACTTGAGTAATCTAAGCTTAACTTTACTTATTAAGCTTCTTAAATATTTTGAAGAACTTTAAGACTAATACAACTATTGCACAAATCAAGTTAGTTGTCTTTTGAAATAATAGTTTCTTGAAATTATATTAATTCTGTTGAAGTTATATTTAGCAGGTGAACTGGTAAAAATTAATTCTTCCCCAAATTTCACTTTCTTATGTTGATAACATTTCTTAGAATTTTCAGTTCATTCTGGGTTCTTGCACGGTGAAGAAGAACCTCTTAGTACATAGTGCCTAAGTATACCTGTTAATGTAATATTAAGCTACATTATATTCTAATTGAGAGCATCACTGAGGAAACAGACTTGGTAGTGTTGATGGTGAGAAGCACTACATGGCTCTGCAGTGCTCATTTGCAGCCCAGAAAGCCAGCCATATCCTAGGACACATCAAAAGGAGTGTGACCAGCAGGTCGAGGGAGGTGATTTTTTTCCCCCTCTACTCCATGCTGATGAGGCCCCACCTGAAATATTGTGTGCAGCTCTGGAGCCCCGAACATAAGAAGGATGTGGACGTGTTGGAGCAAGTCCAAAGGAGGCCACAAAGATGCTTCAAGGACTGGAGCACCTCTTCGGTGAAGACAGGCTGAGAGTTGGGCTTGTTCAGCCTGGAGAAGGCTCAGGGGAGACCTCATAGCAGCTTCCAGTACCTAAAGGGAGCCTACACAGAAGCTGAAGAGGGACATTTTAAAGGGGCATGCAGGAATAGTTTAAGGGGGGGAATGGCTTTGAACTGAAAAAAGGGTAGATTCAGATTAGATATTAGGAAGAAGTTCTTCACTGTGACAGTGGTGAGGCACTGGAACAGGTTGCTCAGAGGAGCTGTGCCTGCCCCATCACTGGCAGTGTTCAAGGCCAGGTTGGATGGGGCTTTGAGCAACCTGTTCTAGTGGAAGGTGTCCCTGCCCGTGGCAGGGAAGTTGGAAGTAGGTTTTTAAGGTCCCTTCTGACCCAAACCATTCTGTGATTCTATGAAAACAAATTCATGTTGCATCATTTCTCCCTTGTATACTCCCAGCATTGTATCAAATGTAGTTCACAGGAAAAATAGGAGGCTGTAGTAAGGAACTTGGGAAACCATTGCTCCATTTCCAATTACGCTGCTGATTCTGGCTAAGGGAGTTGCTTTTTTAAAAAAGAACCTAGCATTTGACTTTGAAGGATAATTGCACATTTTCACAAGCAGTGACAAATTCTACTCTAAATTTGCTCAAACCCCTAATGCTGATGAACTTTGCAGGGCACTTTGGAAACAGCAATTATCTTCCTATTGCTGTCCACCTGTTTCCCAAGCTTTATTGCTATCTGGTTGTACACCTTTGGGCTGTGTAGCAGGTTGTCACCTGGGTTTGCCAGTTATGGAGAAGCTGAGGAACAGGCAATGAGAAAAAGGAAATTGCAACCTTCCTGAGGGATGTTTTGATTTTGGTTGAGATGTTTTGCATCTCAGTTTTCCATTTAAAAATGCAGAAAATAGTTTACCACCTTTGCTGATCAGGTTTCATAAACCTGTCCTTGCTTGTCATCTTCAAGATAGGAGTATTTAATCTTTTTTGTTTGTCAGTGGGGGCGGAAGAGAGAGCTAATTTTTTTACATTGGTTTATTTGTATATATACTAAGTCCAAGTTTATGTCTAAAATGCTGTTTTTTGTATGTACCAGGGTTTTAACCGTATTGATTTCTTTTTTTTGGTATAAAGCACTTTCTCTAGCTTGTTCTGTGGTTCTGCTGTGCCACTGAGAAGACAGAGAGAATAGAACAAGATCATGTTTGAAATTGTTTCTCTTGTCACTTCCATCTATGTATGATTTTTCATTACAGAATTATATGGTCTATATATTATTTCATTTTGTTCGAAGTAAAGTGTAATAGGATATAAAATAATGGAATTGGGTATCTGTTGTAGTAGGACATTCTTTTCTCATTTTCCTTACATATGTGTAATACATTTTAGGTATGGGAAAATTGTATCCACGAAGGCTATTTTGGATAAGACAACAAACAAGTGCAAAGGTATGTATATTTGCCTTTATATTACATTCACCTGAAAGTCCTAATTGATTCTGTAAAATATACTAATGTATTTTAAGTGTTTTTAACCTTTCTTTTTCGGGGGGGAAGTGGTGCTGCTGTGTGGGTCTTCCCCCTCTCCCCCTTTTTTCTTTTTTCTTCTTCCCATTTTTATTCCTGAACTAGTCTTATTCAATACATTCGTTTCCAGTGGAGCTGGCAGACAGCCTGTGTCAGTGCTGCAGCCAAGGCAGAGTGGAGCTGACATGCACAGGGCTGGCTGGCAGTTTGCCTCTATTTTAAAAACAAAAATGGAGTTAAAAGCAGCTTTTCCCCCTTTTGCCTGGAGAAACCAGGGAATCTTGCAGAAGACCATTCAACTGTACTAAGCATCTGAAAAAATTACATATTGTGGAAATCAGCTCCATTGACTAGAGTAGTTTAAAGCAGCACTTAATTACATGTTCTAATACTCTTAATTGTGTTTTGTTATATGCTTTTGAATGTATTGGGAGCAAAGCGAGGGTTCATTTTCACTACAGTAATTGCACCTGGAAAAAAATCAGAACTCCTTTAGATAAGCTGGATGCATCAGTTCAATTATTTTCATCACTCACTGCAATTGTAGTGAGATCATATCCCAGCAATGTGCATGGTGGGAGAAGGTGTGGTAATACCCAATTTCAGACTTTCTTTTTTTACAATTAAGAGGATAATTTCTGGGCAAAGTGAAGAATTAAGTCAGCTGATTTAGCAATGTTAATAAGCATGAAGCTCGTGAAGGAGCATAAAGGTGACAGGCAGAGGCAGGAGAGGAGAGTTCATCGTTAATACAGAGCTTTTGTGCAGAACGTGGAAGCAGCGGCATAGCTTCTCAGCTCCGCTCCTCACCCTAAGCAATTAAAGGGATTTTGGCAGTTCAGAAACTGAAATTTCTATAGTTTTTTTCCCCCTAGTTTGTATGTGGATGTCATCTGCGTATACTGTGACTAGGAAAGAGGAGATGCCCCTTTCAATTATTTTAATTCATTAATACCTATGGCAGCACTTAACTGATTTAATCTGACCAGTCCCACCTTTCCTGAAGGCTTCAGTAGTTCTGTCAGTGGTACAGAAATTCTCACATTAAGAGATTTAAGATGACTTTTCCGATACAGATTTTAAGCCTCACTGGTGAAAAGCAGTAACTAAGATTCTGCTGAAACAATATTCAGCAAGGTAAGGCTGTAAGGAAGCTTACTGCATGTCATTAAAATTACATAAGTAGCCAGAATGCAAATATCTAACTGGAATTTACCCAAAAGATTTGACAGCATCTCTGTCTCTTGCCAAGAAAACATACCATGGAATTTGAACTAACTGGAACACAAGCAATGGAGTTTATATAACATCTAGAAGATGGCAAAGCCAGCTTCGATGGCATGCTTGGTATCAGTATGTAACTTCATCTGTATTTCACCCTGCAGTGTGGTGGTGTTGATAACCTGGGCTGTCATTGGTATGGAAAGCTAGTTTTGGGTATGGAAAGTTAGTTTGCCTTGGCAGCACAAAACTTGATATGAGCTAATTCACTCTGTTTCATGTCAAGATTTAACAGTCCACAACACCACGTGTTACACAGAACAATATGCTGCTTTCTTCAGCTTCTTGGCAGGTTAAATAAGCTAGCACTGATGTACAAGGCTGCTCGAATTGTTTTTCCCAAATTAAGGACTTCAAAGCTGGTTCAGTTGTATCTCTACACAACCTTTTTGTCTTCAGTATAGATATATCATTGTAAGAGAATGCTATTACCTTCTGAAGAAAGAATTCAATTTTCTACTCCCCTAGAGTTGTGGGGGTTTTTATTGTTGGGTTTTTTTTTTTTGTTTTCTAACCCAACTTAGACATTGGAGAGGGATTTATTTAATATTTGAGGCAGTTCACTGGTGGGAAAGAAGGGACTTGAAAAATACAGAATGATGTTCGCAGTAACATTATGGGGAAGTGGCTTCCAAACTCTTCCTGCCTTTTGATCAGACTTGAGCATCCAATTCCCAAGTAGCATTAAAAATTGCAGCCTGTAAGGTCAGTGCCTGTAAATGCCAAAGTGTATGGCTGTTCAGATGTCCTGGATTCCATTAGCTGTATGTTGTTGTTTAGAATGAGAAAAGAAGTTATTGCAACTGTATGGAAGTATACAATTAACTTTGGGTTTACTTTAACATTTAAAGGCTGCATTATAGGGCATAGAAAATGCTTTTAGGACAACTTTTTGCATTCCGGTTTCAGTAACAACAATGGAAAACCTCATCTGCTTTCACTGAAGCTGGGTTTTCTCTTCTTAAATTTAACTTTATGTATATACAGTGAAGTAATTCACCAAAAATTGGGTTATGATAGAGTAGATAAGCATATTTTAAACTAAATTCTTCTCTCAGCCTTGTGTAAATTACACATAATTTGGAGGATTGTCACTTATTTTCAGACTGGACTAAGATTTAGTTTAGAAAAGTTAACAGATTATGTTTCACTCTGATCTCTATGAAATAAACTGATGTCACATTTGCTCTTGGATGATACACACCAGGTAACTTGAAGCAAAACACCACCAAATTGTTAGCAATTAGGACAAAATCCTGATAATGATTGGGCATGGAAATTGATTTGTTCCAGTGGGGTAGCTCCCCACCAGTTCAAGGTTGAAGGACTTCAGTAGATGATTGGGTTTTTTTCTTGGGGACTACATGAAGAGCTTTGGAGTTCAAATTGACCCTCTTCCCCAACAGGAAAATTGTTTTAAATAACTATGCTAGTAGCGTATGAACTCATTATAAGTTGTTTGCTGTCTTGTTAATGAGCATGCTTTATATTTCAGGTTATGGTTTTGTTGACTTTGACAGCCCAGCAGCTGCTCAGAAGGCAGTGTCTGCTTTAAAGGCTAGTGGAGTCCAAGCACAGATGGCAAAGGTGGGTTAAAATACTACTTTTCCATTGACTTCATCAAAAGAAAGATTAGCAATAAATTTTAAGAACTACCGTTCTTACTGCAGGCTTAATGGTTTAAATAAATGTTAATTCCTGAAGCAAGTCAATACCTCAAATAGTTTACAGCACAAGGGTATGAAAGGTTTTATATGCTGCCTGCTTGTTGGTACTGAGGTTTACCAGCCTCTTGATTTGGGGATGAATTTTTAAGCACAGCATGGCAAAATTTAACCTTGTGACTTTGTATTCAGCCTTTCTAGTATATTTTCCCTTCATGAGTAAAATCTAAATCTGGCTGTTCATGATAGGTTTCTTGAAATTCTTATCCAGCTCTTTGACAACCTATTTCTGCATCAGGGCAAACCTAAGCATTATTAACAATAAAGTAATATGATCTTTCTTCTTTTTCTCTCATTTTTACTGACCCCTGCCTCTGAATCAGTTTATTAACCAAAACCTGATCTTCAGAGCAATGTTTTCCCTGCCTAAGTTTCTCAACTCCATAAAATCAGGGAGATGATATATTAGTAATGATTTTGTTATGTGTTCTTGTTAGGTGACATGGCCCGGTTCCAATAGAATGCCATAAACACTGCTACAAATCTATTAAATAAAGAAAATATTGCCAACATAATCTGTTCATGTAATTCGTGGTACCTCTTAAAGCAATTTTTCTTTTACTTTGAAAAATATATTCTAATCAGAAAAAATAATAGTCCAGTAATTAACTAGTAATCTCGGACACTTTTTAATAAAGTAGTCTGCTGCAGATCTAGCAAATCTTTTATAGTCAGCTATTAGGCACAGATTTTTTTCAGATGAGAGATTTTTCCACAGCTTCTCAGCTGAGGAGAACAGTTAAGCTAACAACATAAAATGTCTTTGGATGAATTCCAGGGCAACAAAATGGAAACCATATGTTTCATACTTAATGCATGTTTCATTACAGCCATGACACAAACATATATGCTTACTGGAAAACATTTGGTGTGGTGTTTTTTTCTTTTTCTCTATTTTCCTTCTTTTTAGAAGGTTTTATGCAGGGTTAATAAAGACCTTTTAATCTTTAGTTTTTAGGTGATCACTTTAAAATACACACGGGATTTTTCAAAGGCTCTGTCAGCTTATGGATAAGATATCTAGGTAGGAGTGTAGAAAAGAGAATGTGAAGTCATGTAAGTTCATTTTGATAATGAACTTTGAGGTCTGATTTAATTGTCTTCAATAGATAGAGAAGCTCTAATAATTTGCCATAGTAATCTGATTAATAGTTTTTTATTTTTTCCCATAGTATATTTTTCTGACTCATTTCCTCTGACAGTTGCAATATTCATAGAATTATAGAATGGCTTCAGTTGGAAAGGACCTTAAGATCAACTAGTTCCAGCACCCCTGCCATGGGGCAGGGACACCTCCCACCAGACCATGTCACCCAAGGCTTTGTCCTATCTGGCCTTGAGCACTGCCAGGGGTGAAGCATTTACCGCTTCTTTGAGCAACCCATTTCAGTGCCTCCTCACCCTCATAGTGAAGAGCTTCTTCCTTATATCTAGCCTGAACTTCCCCTGTTTAAGTTTGAACCTGTTATCCCATGTCCTATCACTACAGTCCCTAATGAAGAGTCCCTCTTCAGCATCTTTGCAGGCCCCCTTCAGATGCTGGAAGGCTGCTTATGAGGTCTCCACGCAGCCTTCTCTTCTCCAGGCTGAAGAGCCCCAACTTTCTCAGCCTGTCTTCGTAGGGAGGTGTTCCAGCCTCCTGATCATCCTCATGGCCCTCCTCTGGACTTGTTCCAACAGTTCCATGTCCTTTTTATGTTGAGGACACCAGAACTGCACACAATACTCCAAATGAGGTCTCACGAGAGCAGAGTAGAGGGGCAGGATCACCTCCTTTGACCTGCTGGTCACACTCCTTTTGATGCAGCCCAGGATACGGTTGGCTTTCTGGGCAGCAAGCGCACACTGAATCCGGCTCATGTTAAGTTTCTCATCAACCAACACCCCCAAGTCCTTCTCCGCAGGGCTGCTTTAGCCTGTAGCTGTGCCTGGGAGTGCCCTGACCCAGGTGTAGGACCTTGCAAAGTGAACTTCATGAGGTTGGCATTGGCCACCACTCAAGCTTGTCAAGATTTCTCTGGATGGCATCCCTTTCCTCCAGTGCATCAGTCAAACCATGCGGCTTGGTGTTATCAGCAAACTTGCTGAGGGCACACTCAATCCCACTGTCCATGTTGCTGACAAGGATGCTGAACAGGCTCAATCCCAACAACGACCCCTGAGGGACACCACTTGTTTCCAGTCTTCAGTTGGACATTGAGCTGTTGACCACAGATCTTTGTGTGCGACCATCCAGCCAGTTCTTTATCCACCAAGTGGTCCATCTATCAAATTGATGTCTCCAGTTTAGAGACAAGAATGTCATGCAGGACAGTGTTGAACGCTGTTGTGGTGGTTTAAGCCCAGCCGGCAACCCAGAACCACACAGCAATTTGTTCACTCCCCCCCATTTACTTCCCCTGCTCCTGGAGGGATGAGGAGGAGAATCGAAAGAATGTAACTCCCATGGGTTGTGATAAGAACAGCCCAGTAACTAAGGTATAACACAAACCACTACTGCTACCACCAGTAATAATAATGATAGGGGAAATAACAAGGGAAGAGAATACAACTGCTCACCGCCCACTGACTGATAGCCAGACCTCAGCAGTGATTTAGCCCTTCTGGGTAACTGCCCCCAGTTTATATACTGGGCATGACGTGCTGTGGTATGGAATACCTCTTTGGTCAGTTTGGGTCAGGTGTCCTGTCTCTGCTTCCTCCCGTCTTCTCTTCCTCCCTGGCAGAACATGAGTGACCTGGTGACCTTTGGGAAATCTGTAACTATAAAGTTTGCATTTCAGTGAAACTTGTTGTTCTGCTCCTAAACATTGGAAGTGTGTTTGAGTTAATAAAAAGAACAACCCCAAACTAACCCAATGAACAGAACCACAACAAATGGTCACAACACAAGTGACTAAGAGCTATTTTTATTTTTTTTTTGCCTTTTGTCTATTTTGAGCCATTGGATTTTATTTTTATTTTTTTTTCTCCTGGGCAGTGCTGCTCTGCTTTTGTGTGAAAAATCCGATCTTCGCTTGGATGCTCCAAGCTGGGAAGTGTCAGTCACTTACAGTTGTTTTGGCAAGATTAGCAAATTAGACTTTTCACATGCAAGACACTACACAAACACAAGTTAACTTCTATATTTAATAATCTATCCTTTTACGTGTTGTCACGTGCCATGAGTGCTCTTCTCGCAGTGAAACTGCTCAGGCTTAAGCCTGAGTATCACAGAGAAGTACTGGAAGGACAGTATCTCAGATGCCTGGCTGACAGATTTCATTACTGACCGCTATGACTGCTTCAGTTTCAAAGAGAAATAAATGCCTGTTGGCAGGATTTGTCTGTGGGAAGGCGTTGTTGTTCTGCTGTGCCCAGGGTGTCAGCCAACAGCATGGCTCCTCAGTATTCTTGCCCTCCTCCCAGACATGGTGGTAGTCCCTGACCTGCAACAACTGAGGGGGAAGGAAAATGTTATTGCTGAAGTCTTGTCCTGACTCTGGCTGCGTAAAGCCCTTTTTGCAGTGTCTTTCTGTAGCTATAGGTTAGTCAGTTAAAAATGACATCAGCAAGTTCATTTATAAATCCTAGTTTAGTAGCAGTGGTTCAGATTACAACTGTTCAAATCTTTGTTATTTCATTTGTAGAGATAACTTCAAATATTTTACTGTGTGAGCTTTTCCTATCCATGGTGTAAGATCATGCTGTACTTGGCAGCCTGGTTCCAAGTTGATCTGACTCCAGAAAAATCTAGTCTCAGCCATTATGTTTCTGCTATTGCTGAGCAGCCAGGAGGGTCTGGGGCCCGAGATGTACCTTCAGGCCAAATCCTGCTAAATCTGTTCCAGGGGGGTCACTGCTGGTGACACCTCAGGAGATGTCATGACGATGGTGTCAGTGAAAGAACAGTGTCAGATAACTGCTACTGCTCAGGAGACATTATGTCTTCAGTTATTCTCCTTTTTCTGGATCTGAATTGGGAGTGCTTGACTAAGATGAAACAACTTGAACTGTTTTGATCTGTGCTGTATAACAGTATCTTCCTGTACCCACTGAAAGGGAAATGCCTGCAAAGATTCCTGTTGGTCAGATATAATGCTGCGGAGAGCTTACATAAGGTGATACTGCATTGCCAGGGCATGGGAGTAGCTTTTGGATGGAAATTTAAAATAGAAATACGGGGCTGTTGCCTTTCTTCTCCCTTCCAGTTAACTGTTACCAGTGTTCAGGCTTGTCAGAGTGTATAAGCAGCAGCAGGAAGGGATCAGGAGGTGATGTGAGCTGTATTGGTAAACAGCTTGCTTCAGTACCTAGTACAAAACCAATAGCCTGTATGTTACTACAGACATGAGGTACGGAAAGAGCAGATACATGTCCTTCAAGACTGTTGTAATTTCTAAACTAGTTAGTAACTAGTGAGTGTCTAATTTTTATTTTCATTCATTTTAGTTTCTTGAAATTTCTTTAATTAAGTTCTTTGATTATAAACCAATAGTAATGGGTTAAAAAGCTCTTATTTTGCAGAGTTGTGCATCCTTAGATAAGCTTAATTAGTATTGAAAAGCTCTGCCCATTTTCTTTAGTAAAAAAGTTGTTGCAGTTGGAAGATAGATGCGCAGAAAAAGATCTATTGTATATTGGCGTTTTGAATGAAGAGTTAAAAAAACCTGAGGATCCGTAAAGGAGTGTTTTGAAGATAGTGGGGTCTAAATGGTGTAGACATCTGAGGCATCATTTAAATTCATACAGATTTTTGACCTTGAGCTTAACATGAGACATTTAGTTTTCAGATGTAGTTCTGCCTCATTAAATGGTATTCAGCTGAGCTCAACTGTAGTTTCTTAAGTAACTGTTTCAGGTGATTCGAAAAGTGGCCCTTAA